TGAATTTGTCAGCAGGGAGATGGATTATCTGTGTGCTCCCCTCGTGTTATTATAATTTAATAACATACACTATTTTCCTTGGATGCTGAAAGTGCAATCACATTATGTCCTTATAAGTGATCATGAAACATTTTCTGGACTCTAACATACTACTAAGCTTATTAATTTTGTATTTATTATTATAGGTAAGGCCCACCTTCAAAGAAAACATGTATAGAATGATTTATTAAAAAGCAAACACACACACACACACACACACACACACACACACACACACACACACACACCATCCCCTGTGTGGGTCTGTAGTTTCAGCACCTGGAGAGATGGAAGCTGAAGTATTGTTTGAGCCCAAGAATTCAAGGCCAGCTTGGCCTCGGGTCAAAAAAGAAAACAGGAGATGTTGTTGCTGTAGCTCTGTGGTAGCGCTTGACTAACTAGCCCTGGGATTGATCCATAGTAATTTAAAAGGGAAAACTAAGTGTGTTCCATCTCAGAAGCATAGTAATTAGCATGTCCTTTCTTTAACTTAAGAGATCTCCCGGCTTGTCACTGCAAATGCGAGGTTGAGCTAGAAGGTGTTTTACTGACAGATTTCCCTTTCAAAGTAATTCTCCCCATCTGCTTGAGAATGCCATCAGTCTTCCTGGCTAAGTCGTGAAGGCAGGTAGCAGTTGATCACGGTTTTTGTTTTAATTTCTCCACACGAAAATGTTAAGTACAGTTCTCATTTTGGCTCCCTCCAGCTAAAGCCCTCTGTGGTTCCTGCTCTGTTTTTGTAAGCGTTTCCTGAATGCTGCTTCTCCCGTATATTCCAAGGCCCCGTGTTTTTGGTGTTGGAGATATAAACATGACTGTCCTGTGGCCTCTTTCCTCACAGAGCTCATAATTTAGGAAGGGAGACAGATGAGTAAATAACTTACTACAATCCTGCTTGATAAATGCCACGTTAGAGGTTGTGAACAGAGAGCCATGGGAGCCAGCGCCAGCAGGTGATTGATTTGAGGCAAGGGGGATGGAGTGGGGATCAGGAAGGACTCAGCCGCAGAAGTGACATTTGAGTTGAGCCTTAAGGGATGAATAGAATTTTGCCAGATGGACAAAGCGGTGGGGGTGGGGCACTCCAGACTCGCGCAAAAACACGAGAGTATGAAAGTTTGTGCCTTTGTCTGAGTGGTGGTGAGCAGTACGTGGGGCTCAAGCAGAAGAAGGGTGTGTGTGTGGTGGTGGGGGGATGTTGGCAGAGGACACGTAGACCATGGGACCATCTTTTGAAGCTCACATTTAACCGTAGTTCCGGGGAGTCAGAAGTTGTTGGCTTGGGAGATGATACCGGGAGGCTTTAGTCTTGGATCATCCTAGCAGCAGAAAATGAGATGTTTTAGATGAGGATGACTGAAGGGGGCGTACATGTTGGCTGTGCCAACAGAAATGAGGACAGGAACTTGGGGACCATCTAGGAGGGAGACCTTGGTCATTGCTGAGACACGGCAGAGGGATAATAGCAACAACAGCAGCACAGTGCCCTGGATGCCTTGGCTCACTAAGCAGAATAAAGAACTGGGGGAAGACAAGCTTATGAGACAAAGGAGTGAATTTCACCTTGCATGTGTTTACTGCTTAAGGATTCTTAGATGAGACAGGCGGCAGAGCACCTGTGGGGAAATGCCACGGGCAGTGATGCATTGGAAAGTCGTCCACTTGGTGATGGTTTTCCTGCAGGGTAAAGAGTGGAGGACATACCTTGCTTTTTTTATTTTAATTTTATTTGAAGGACTTCCTTTTTAACACATTTATTTGTTTTTTAAATTAAAATAATCCTCCCTTAAGTCCTCATGTATCCCCCAAGATTGATTCTTCACCTCTTTTTCTTTGTTTTACATATAAATCATATATATTCCTAAATATGTCAATACAGCCTGCTCAGTTCATATTTATCACATTGTTACCTGTATTATATAATTTCAGGGCAGACCACTCAGCGTCTTTATAACTATGCATGTGCCTCACTCTGGAGTCTGATCTTGATTCTACTAAGGCCGCTGCCTGTAGAACAGCACTGCTTAGTGATAAGTATCACCCAATGTGAGGTGGGGTGTAAAAGCTGGTGAAATGAGTGGCATGTAGACACATAGGCACATGGGAATGCTAAAGGTATGTTCCTGGTAGGCCTGGGACATCAGTGAAACAAGAACACCGGCTCAGAGATGAGCAGGAAGAGGCCGTAGCTTATCTCTGGGAAGTCTTTCCTCTGTATCATGTTTAGTATTGACATTTTCACTTTTATTCCCAATAGGTACTTAAAGTGTACACATACTACACACACATGCACACACTGTACACATAAATACAGCTTTAGTCCTAATTTGCTATTTATTGAGATTGCTCAAAAACACCTCACATTTGTTGGATTTTGCCCCTTAATACTAATACCTTAAATGGTGTGTGTGTGTGTGTGTGTGTGTGTGTGTGTGTGTGTGTGTGTGTGTGTGACAGGGGCTCAAAGCAGGGCATGTTAGCACTAACCTTGGAGCAATGTCAGTCAGTCGCAACTCGTTGTAATGACTGGAGCTGGCCACTGATGCACTCGTGAGTCTCAGATGATTTTTCTGGCCAGTCTCTGACCCAGGCTTTTGCAATGAGCTACATACAACCACATGAGATTCATGCTGGCACTTGCAAGATGACTTGGGAGTTAATGTGTATGCTTGGATTGCAATTTTCCTGCCTCGCTTCCCTTTTCATTGCTTTCTTCCTTGTCTTCAAAGCTGGGTGAAGCTAAGTGATTATCGTGTGGGATAAGTGTGAAACCTCGACATCTCGGGTTCTTGGGGCCAGTCACGTAAAGTAAGGCCTTAAAGAACATGTCTGTCTTTTTGATAGACTGAGGGGAGTCATACTTGTGTTTGGCACGTTAATTGGTACATTTGAATAAGAGAGCAGACCTGCGCATAAAATCTTAGTCCAAAGAATCAAATTGGTCTTTGCATTTGGTCTAGGTTTTCGTGAAGGATATATTTCTTTTCTTTTTTTTTTTTTTTACTTTTAAAGTGGCAAAATGTGAAATTATACTTGTTAAATATATACTTAATGCCACCTGATGATGCAGTAATTGACTTAATGAAAATGGTTACTTTATTGAAAATGGTGTTATTTCCCAAACACTGTTTTCAGCACTGTGAACACATTATTACCACTCCTTCAGCACATACACACACACACTCACACACACACACTCACATAGGCACACATATACATACTCACACTCATGCACACTCACACACACTCACATAGGCACACACTGACACACATACTCACACACACACTCACATAGGCACACACTCACACACACTGACACACACTCACATAGGCACACACACTCACATAGGCACACATACACACACTCACACACACACACACTCTCACAACACTCTCACACACACACTGACACACACTCACATAGGCACACACACTCACATAGGCACACATACACACACTCACACACACTCACACACACTCATTCACACAACACTCACACACACACTCACACACAACAGGCACACACTCACATAGGCACACATACACACACTCACACACTCACACACTCTCACACACACTCACTCACACACACACACTCACATAGGCACACATACACATGAGTGCATGAAGACAGCACCTACATGGAGAAGCTGTGTGTTGTCAGGTCAAAGATTTTGGTTAGATTGTGTAGGGGGTCTTTTCTTTCTTTCTTTCTTTCTTTCTTTCTTTCTTTCTTTCTTTCTTTCTTTCTTCCTTCCTTCCTTCCTTCCTTCTTTCCTTCCTTCCTCTCTCCCTCTCCCCTCTCTCTTTCTTCAGTGCCTACTGAATAATAAGCACTGAGACAATAGTTTTTGAATACATAAATTACTGCTTAATGTTTGCTAAAAGTTCCTGAGGTAGATGTTACTGTCCACATGTCAGTGACATGCTGGTGGCTATTTGCTCTGCACTGGGGGTCAGGGTGCCGCATAGGGGAGGTGGTTTTCATGTCCTCCTTCCTACCTAGTGGTTAGAAGGCTTAACTATATGTAAGGCCAAACAGTAGGGCAGCAGTTGCTTTTAGGCAATACAAGAGATGCCATCAGGGTCTGAAGAATGATAAACAATGGAGAAATGAATGAGTACACACAAAATCAGCCAAAGAGTGCCTGCACACAGTAGTGGCTTAATCTGAGTTAACTGTCACAGCCGTGGTGCCTCGACCACACTTCCTCCTCTCCCAGACTCCACTAGAGCAGCAGCATGAGGGCTCTACTCTGTGTTGGAGTAGTCAGAGGTGGTTTCCTGGGCAACATGGCTTTCTCATCCTCTGGACAGGGAGGCAGTGGTAGGAACTGTGTTTCTTCTTCTTAGACTGGAGACCAGTATGTGCTGTGTAAGAGCCAAGTGTGGCCTACTTCCAGGGGTGACTGATCACAGTTGACCGTTTCCAGTGTGATGATGAATATTGCATTCATAAAATCGGACTTGAAACTCTGCATGTGTTTCTGTGAGCAACCAAGCACCCTATAATGGGAAATTTTGTTATCTTTTTATATGCTGTAATCTGTAAGCACAGTATTGTATTTGCATGAAAAAATATTAGTGCCTTTTATGTCACAAAGTCTGTGAAACAAAATTTGTTGTAATAAACAGGCAACTTCCCATTGGCCTTGTGGTTTTGAGACTTGAGAACCAACTTTGCTGGTTTTTGAGTCTGGGGTATTTTGGATGATTTGCAGAGTGCTGGGTTCTCCCACCAGCTCCTCATCATGCCATGTAATTGTTTAGGGACCATGTTGTGTCTTAGCCTCAGATCTCTAACAGCCCCGGACACGGTTCCTAGAATAAGCGAAGAGTGCAATAAATTGTGGAGATGATTTTTTGAAGCGTGCCAGGCTGGCCAGCTCTGTGCTTGTGGGAGTGATTTCCAGCCAAGTTGTGTCTTGTGAGATATGTAATGCATTTACTATTGTTCTAAGGTCCAGCCTGATGAGCGAAGAAGCAAAGCGAGGAACTCCCAACCCTTGGCTCTGTGAGGAGCCAGAGGAGACCAGAGGCTTGGGTTTTGACGAGATCCGGCAACAGCAGCAGAAAATTATCCAAGGTACTGATTACCCCAGGACTGTGGGTCACAAACCTGCTGCTTTGACCCTGACCTTGACTATTTTCCTTTATCTCCAGTGAAAACTTGAGTCAAAGTGATTGTTGCTGTAAAGCTCTTGATTTTTCATTTTTGTTTTTGTTTTTCTTTTTGGCCTAAAGATGCTTGAGGAAAAGACTTCATTGATACAACTGACTTGGTTGTCGTTGGTTTGTCTTTTCACACTTAAGTTTGTCTGGACCATCAGGTTTTTTTTTTTCCTTTTTATTTGTAGGTTCCACCACATTTGCTTAATATGCTTTTTTTTTAAGTTTCTCATTTAAAAAAAATTTTCAGAAGTAATGTACTATTGCTGTGTTCAAGCAAGATGAGGGACGAACAAGATGGAAAGTGCTCAGGGCTGCTTCTCCAGACTCCAAACCATAAGAAGATTAGTATGTGTGCCCTCAGTCCTGTTTGTATGCATGTGTATGAATGTTTTTAGTATAAACACATATATTCTGTGTAAACAGGCCCATGAGGTACATTACTATCTCACTGTATGAACCATTTCATAGTTTTTAACTTGTTTTTCCATGTCAGTATGTATGCTGTTCTTTGTAAAGACAGCTTTATTGAAGTATAATTGGCATTATCATAAGCAGCACATATTTGATAGGCATGATTGGATGAACTTCAGTACACACACACACACACACATACACACACACACACACTCACAATGAAGCCAGCACTGCAATCAAGATAGTGAACGCAGTTCTCAGGAGGTTCCTTCGTGTCTCTTGGAGAGCCTTCCTGTTGTCTCTCCCCCATTCCTAGACAACAGCCGATCTGCTTTCCATCACTCCTAATTGGTTTCTGTTTTCCACAGTTTCATGTGAGTAGACTCGTACAGTATTTACTCTCTGGGGAAGGAGATCTGGCTTCTTTCTCTATGGATAATTTTTAAATGCATCTGGATTGTCACATGAATCTTACAAGTTGATTACTTTTTTCCTAAGGTGTCTTTTGAAATAGTTTACACTTTTATTAACATGTAAGATATTTTCATATGCCTTTTCAGTTGTTTTGTCAGACACCTTTGGGTTTTGGTTTTAGAAAGAACACAGGTTGACTTAGAATCTGCAAGGGCAGCCGGCAGCTGCAGGGCGGTAACATGCATACGACCCACAGTCCACACAGGCGTTACGGATGTCTCCATGGACTCTTGCATTTCTTTTTTACTCTCAGTGATACCTTTCAGACTGTGGATGCTCTTAAGCCCAGTTAATCAGTTTCCTCTTGTATGGTTTCTGTTTCGATTATATCTAAGAAAACACTCAGCAGGCGAAAGCCACAGCACTTACAGCTTTTTCTTCTAGTAATTTTATACTGTTAGATTTTTACATTCAGTCTGTGATCTTTTTGAATTGGTAAATAGGCACATTTTTTGCATTTGGATATGTTTGGCTTAGAGCCATTAAAAAAATAAAAGACTGCTTCCACTACTGAATTTCTCTACCTTTGTCAAAAATAATCAAGTGTCATTTATGTATAACCCTATTTCTGTGCTCTGTTCTTTTCTATAGTTACTTTGTTTTTACTGGGTCTTGAGTGTTGTGCCTTTCTGATAAATCGCTAAACTAAGTCACACAGGCCACCTGACTTTGTTCTTTCTCAGTATTTTTGGGTATCCCCAGGGTTTCATACTTCTATCTAAATTTGAAAATCAGCTTTGAATGTTTGAAAACAATGGTACTTGTCATTTTGATTGCATTTACATTTTTTAAAGATTATTTAGGAGAGAATTGATGTCACATCAACAGGAACCTGCAAATCCATAATATGGACTTTTCATTAAATAAATCTTAACTTGTTCTTTAATTTTTCTTAGCATTGCTTTTTAGTTCTCACCATGCACACCTTATATGCCTTTGGTCAGACTTTTATTATAATTAACATTTTAAAATGTTCAGTATCTGGTTACTACTCATATATAAAGCTGCTGTTTATTTTTGTTTTGTTTTTGGATCATGCAGCTTTGCTTACTCTCACTAATATGCTCCAGTAGCTTTTTTGTTGAATCTGAAGATTTTTTGACACAAATAATTGTTATCTATTGTTACAAAACTGTATGTTTTAATTTTAATATAGTTACCTTTAATTTATTCTTTTTGCCTTATCATACTTGCTGCAACCCAGTACAATGTTGAAAATAGATATTCTTGCCTTGTTTCTGCTCTTAATTTAAGGAAATGTTTATTTGGATCCAAGTTTTTTTTTCCAATATTGGATATTTTTTGAATTTTCTAGAGATTTTTTGTGAGTTGTGGGATAGATACAGCTGTATTATTTGTGTCATGTTTTTATTTTTATATATTGAAAATATTTGTATTGCAACTATGTGTGCATGTATGTATGTGTGTGTGCATGTATGTATGTATGTATGCATGTGTGTATGTCCATATGTATAGTGTATGGGCATGCATGCCATGGCGCCCATGTGGAGGTCAGAAGACAGCTTTGTGAAGTCAATTCTTTCCTTGCAGCTTTGCATGGGCTCTGGAATCAAACTCAGGTCATCAGACCCATGAGGCAAGTACTTTTTCTAACTAAGCCATGTCATTGGCCCTGGGTCTTGCTTTTAAAGACAGTTTGAAAGAGGAGTTTAAACTATTTTAGAACATGGATCAGCAAACCCTGGCCTATGAGCCAAATCTTACTTTTGTATGGTGTGCAAATCAAAAACTGCTTTGAAATTTTTTAAATGGTAAAAAAATAATCAAAAGAATATTTTGTGACTTGTAAAAATTATATGAGATTAAAAGTTCAGGGCTCATAAATTCAATTTAATGGGAGCACAGCCATGCTCACTCACTTACACAATATCCATAGATGCTTTCCCACTTGGCAATAATAGAGTTGAATAACTGCTTTAGGGACTGTATGAATCACAAAGTCTCAAATGCTTCCTATGTGGCCCCCTACAGAACATGCTTGTCTCCGGTCTAGAGGTAAATTTCTGAGCCTAAACCACTCTGGATAGTCTGCATGGTGCTCTTGGAGCACCGAGGTGATCTGCTCAGTGGGAGGAATGGGGACAAACAGTGCCTTACTGTAGTTGAGTTTAGAACTTGATTCCTTCTACCCTTTGAAGCGACTCAGGGATCTCTGTATATACAGCTTTCTTCTCTCCAGCGCTCCAGCTATTGACGCCTTTGAGTTCAATTCAAGACATGCACTGGATTTCACCTGGGAATCCAGCCCCCACCCCCATCATGATGGGAGTATCTACAAGGCAGCAATCTAGGCAGATTTAGAGTGCATCTCATTTGTTTCCTCTTTCAGATCTTCCTTGTCTGCTGATGCACCATTTCTGGAAACAGTGGATTTGAATGTTTTGCCTGCCTGTTTTCTCTGCTCTGTGTTCATGCAGGCCAGAAGGAAATCTGGTTCCTGTCAGTCCATCTTGGCCATAAACAGGAGTCTAATTCTATTTTGAATTCTTCTTCACAATGAAATTACCTAGCAAACGAAACACTGGCTCTCCGTGCCTTTAATTTTGCATACTTCGCCCATCAATGTGCTTGACAGGAAGTGACCAGATGGGAAGCGATGCAGCTCAACGTGGAGTACAACCACTCACACGCAGCCATGGTTTCTGGGAGGACGGCCTCGTGCTAAGACAAGTGGATTTTCCTGTCATTGCTGTTTGCCAAGGAAAGCTGTTCTTAGTCAGGAAAAGTATTTTTCTCCCTGAGAATGTGCTGCACTTGGGGATTGCTGGGGTTGGGCGTGAGCATGCGCTCTGCCCTGTATGCTTCTTAGAGGAATCTCCAAGCCATAGTATCTCCCCCACCGAGATTTCTGCTCCTTGCAAGCCCGCTGGCCTCTAGCTGTGGGTGTTGGGACAGGGGATGGAATAGCCCATGTTTGGGTAACTTTATTCACCTGCTCTTTCTTAATGTGGTTTGAAATTCTGGGTCCCTTGTTGCATTGCTAGTATAACAAACTACCTTTCAAGCTAAACACAAACATGAAAGCATTCTTTGCCCCAAATACTTAGCAACTTTTCCTGGATCCTATACTGGATAAAGAAGAGTCAGAAAAAAAAATTCTGGTTGCCTTTTGGCCCATGGAATTGATTAGTCTTTCTGTACTTTAGTGTGAAGACTGAGAAATACTCTGGAAATCACCCCCCAAATAATCTTATTGCTGGATCATAGACTTGTGGTCAGTGAATACCTTTCTTGCTCAGTCTAGAGGCTAGGCCTTGTGACAGCCAGTTATCTAAGGCTAGCCCAATACTTAAGCAGTAGCTTGGGATATACATAGAGATGACTGTGGTGATGACAGGGACTTGGTCTCCTCACAATCTGAGGTAGAGTAACGTAAGGAGACAGTGGCCAGTGCAGGCTGAGCATCTAAGTCAGACAATAATGGGATGTGGAGTATGGATCCCCACCTCTGTTTAGGAGTCTGTTGGTGAGGTTCCTAAATCAGCACAGCCCATTCTCCACTATTTTGTAGTTGTTCTTTCTAGATTTGAGCATTTGGTCTCAGGGAGTTGCTTTTTTAACTGCTGGCACATAGTGCCTGACAGAGCAACTAAGAAAGGAGGGGCTGGTCTTGGTTCACAAATTGAAGACATAGAGAGTCCACCATGGGGAAGTCGTAGCAGCAGGAATTTAATTAAGGTCCCATTGCATGTACAGTGAGGAAGTAAGGAGACAAATGCTACCCTCAACTCCCTCCCTCCTTTTTGTTCAGTCAGGGCTCCAGCCCTTGAAATGGTACTCCTTGCATTTAAGGGGGGACTTAACTGCCTCAACCTAATTCTGCACAGACCTGCTCACATGGTCGGTAAATGTTTCCCTGTGAAATGGGGGCAGGGAAGGTGACTAGCCAGACTCCATGTTACAGTGAGAAGTCTTGGGGTAGCCCTAATTACCGACAGCGTTCTTGGAAAATCCCCTTCCTTGTAGCTACCACATATATTAGGAGATTCCTTTCCAAAAAACCTT